CAAGAAAATACCTTCTGCTGATAGGTTTTATGAATTTTTGGAAACAAGGAAAAGTTGAAGACAAGAAAAGCAAACTTGGGACAAGGGCCTTAACTTGAAACGTTTCAATAATTCGTTCTATCTAAAAATTGACACGACTGACTGCAAATCATTTTACCGTTTATTAAACTATAGAATTAAGTTTAATTGTGTCAACATTATTTTTTTATAAAATGATAAAGAAAAAATTTGACCGTGCTAAAGAAGTTTACATGTACTTTGGAAAAAGGCTGAAGGACTTTCACTTTTGGGAAGACCATAAATTCTTGTGTCTAGCCCTACAATTTTGAAAAATTCATCACTCCTTTGTTTCCCGACTTGTGTTTATCTCTAAGAAAATGGCATGTTTAATAAGGTTTTCCCAAATCCTCTGCCGTTCCTTCATGTTGTTATATATGGTTTCGAGTCCAAAGCTCCTCAACTTCTCAATCTTCTCCCGATTCATCACCACATTTGTGCCGTCCTGGAGAGCGCTCTGCATTGCTTGATTTCAAAGGCACTACGGATATGATGGATTACTCTTTTTGTACTCCTATAATACAAACTTGGAATGAGAGTAAAGACTGGGGGCATCACATGCGACAAGGTGAAAGGTCACGTGATTGGCCTTGATCTTAGTCGGAATTGTCTTAAAGCCAATCTAACTACAAATAGTGGTCTCTTTTGCTTTGAGAAATTGTAGAGTCTCAACCTTTCTCACAATTATTTTCATTATCCTAACATCTCATTTGGGTTTGACCGTTTTTAGATAAATACCTTAAAAAATCTTTTAGGAAAATTACCTACATTACACTAACTTCTTTTATTTTCTTTTCTCCTTGTTGAAAAGTTATTAGTGAGCATGGTAGAATAGTAGAGAAGACGGGCTTCACAAGTTATGATTTGGGCAATGAAAAGGGCTAAATGAAAAACAATTCATTAAAAAAATAAAGTCAAGAGTTCCTATCCTATTTGATTTAGCTATTTCAAGAAAATTCACAAATAATAGTTGATATGTGACAACTAATAGTTGTGTATAATCTAGTCTTTTGTGGAAACCATAATTAACAAGAACCAGCATGAGAAATCTGCAATGAATGTGATGGAAAAAGAATCTTATGATTTATAAACATTTTATTAGTTAGAATGCTATTGATGTAGTATTCTATTATTGTAATAAAGAATTCTTCAACTAGAAGACATGGAATAAGTTAAGGTTTTCTGGAATATTGGACTATATATATTAACGTGTGGAAAGTGTAAAGAAGAAAATTTTGTGTAAAACCATAATTAATGTATAAAAAGTGTAGAGAATAAAGTGGAAAATTAATTGCTCTAATACTTGATGAAAAGGAATGAAAGCAAAAGGGGAAAGGGGAAGTCATCGTTGGACTAGAAGCATGTGGTGTGGGTTTAGTATATCAACGTGTGGAATAAGTCAAGG